GCGTCCTGTCTGACATCTCGGCCCTCGGCCCCCTCCCAGACTCCGTGGCTACTGCCTCCATGCCAGCCGAGGACGACCCGACCCTCTTCGACACACAGAGTGATGCCTCTTCGCCGGAAGTGGTGGCCATTGCGTGTCTTGAGGGCGCGGCGACTGAGCCAAACTCCCCAGTCAGCCCGCCTGTCGCCGTGGAGGAGGATCCTGCTGCTGCTGCTGCCGCTGCTACCACGGAGGACGCCACCGTCCCTCCCGAGGCCGAGGCCAGCATCGTCGCTCCCGAGACCGATGCCGCCGCCGGCCAAGTTGCCGATCCTCCGCCCGAAGATGCGATCGTCGGGTCTGATATTCCCCCCCCGACCGCCGAGGCCGCACTGGCACAGCCCGAGGACGCGGCTGCAGCGGAATCCGCAGCCGCCACCTCTGCGATCGAGGTGGCCGCCGCGGATGCCGAAAAGCCACTCCTGTCAGAGGGGCCTCCTTCTGCCGAGCTGGAGGCCGCCCCAGCTGATGTGCCGCCCGCTGCCCCCTCCACCGATGGCGCGTGGGCCGAGCCGCCCCCCCTGCCGGCGGGCATGTCCCGACTTCCCCCCCCCACCGGGGGCGACGGTGACATCGAGCTCATGCCGGTCCCGGCTTCCTCCGCCGACAGCCCCTCGCCCCGGACCATTCTTCCGTCCATTTCTTCCGAAATTGATCCCCAAGCCATGGGTCCCCTTGGCCTTGGGCACCGGCGATCGGTCAGCCACAACTCCCGGCGGTCTTCCAGCTACTCGCCGCTGAACACCGCCGGCAGTGGCGGCGAGGGGGGACCCCTCAGCGGCCATGCCGCGTCCGGGTCTTTCTCCAGCTCCCTCTCCGTGCAGGTAGCCCTGCCCACTCTGCCGGATGGTTCGCCGCCCATCTCCAACTCCAACAAGCGCGCCCTGCGTGGCCCACCCCCCTCGACCCCGGAGGAGCAACTGCTCCTGATGAAGCTCGAGCTGTGGGACGACGTCTTTACCGATGATCTGGACCTTCTGGCGCATCTGTGCCAGCAGACATATCTCAACTCCCAGATCCTCACTGCATCGATCATCGGTGCGTGTCCATGGAATCTCCCCCTCCTTTCTTCCCTTTCCTCGCGCCACGTCGATCAACCCGATTGCACATCCCCCCTGCCGCCGTCACATCCACACCTACACCCACATGTGCTGCTACTCCCTCCCTCCCTCTCTCTCTCACACACACACACACACGTGCACACGCGCACACATGCAGTCCTCCTCGAGCACACCAACCATGCGGACTACTTCCTGAAGCGCCTGATCCGCACGCGTATTTTCCTCAATCGCCCGACCGAGTCGCATGACTTTACCAACATCATGCGTGATAATAGGTCCGCCGAAGCTTGTGCTCCCTGTTGCCCGCTGTCCCTCTGCCTCCTTCCCGGTGCCATTGCGCCGCCTCTCGCCCAGGCACATGCTCATCGTGCATTCGTGTGCCTCCCTTCGGACCAGCTGCTGACATGTGCGCGGCTTTCTCGCTGCTCATCCCCCCCCCCCCCCCCGGATCACGATGCAGTCTTTCGGTGATGCTCTCGTCGGCCTTTGCCCGGCATCATGGGCCAGCCTATTTGGAGACGGTCATCTCGCCCGTCATCGACAAGATCCTTGAGGACACCACCATCTTCGAGATCAACCCCGCCGAAATCAAGGACCCGGCGAGCGTGGACCTTGAGGCCAATCTGCACAAGTTCGCCGGCATCGTGTCCTGGACCATCTCGCACATCCTGGAAAAGCGCGATGCCCTGCCGCCCAAGCTCCGGTCTCTGTGCACGTACATGCGGCGTACCTCTTATGCCCGGTTGAAGCACTACTTCCCTGGCGACTCGGACTCGATGCGCGAGCAGGCTTCGCTTCGCTTGGTTGGATGCTTCCTCTTCCTGCGCTTCATCGGCCCGTCCATCTTCGCGCCCACCTTCAATGGGCTGTGCTACCGGACCGGGCTCACGCGGGATGAGCGCCGCGCACTTATCATGTTCACCAAGGCCCTGAACATTTTGGCGGCCGAATCCCTTCGCGTGCAAAAGGAGGAGTACATGGTGCCACTTGGTGCGCTCCTGCAGAAGGAGACCGCCAAGATGCAGTCCTTCCTGGACTTCGCATCGTCATTTGATGAGGATGAGACCGTGCTGGTCCTATCGGACCCGGCCTGTGGTTCGAGCATCGGGCCGTCATCCCCCGAGAAGAGGACGAAGAAGCAGGCCACCCCCGAGGCGGATGGTGGTGTCGGTGCTGGCGCCGATGCCGCTGTCGACACGGACCCCGCTCTTCATGAGGCTACTTCCTCTTTCCCGCCGCCGGCCGCCGGGGAGGGTACTTCGACTGGCGTTGCCGCTGCCGGCGTTGGCAGTGGCGTTGCTCATGAGGGGAGTCCCTCCTCGGCCGAGGCGGCTGCGGCTTCCGAAGCCGAGGACCCGGAGGTCCTTGCCGTTGCTGCTGCTGCTGCTGGTGCTGCTGGTGCTGCTGTTGCTGATGATGGCATCGCCCATGCCACTGGCCCTGCCGATCCGCCGGAGTCTCCGACCGTCGATGAGGCTGACGAAGGGCAGCCTTCCCTGCTGAAGATGCATCGACTGCTGGCCGCCGGCCAGGGCGGGTCCCTGCCGTCGACCCCCCGGTCGGCGATCACCTATTGCTCCGAAGCGCCCGGCCTGTTGGAGGCGCCTCCCCCGCCGGATGCCCTGATTCCGGACAGCTTCGCCGGGAATCTGGACACCGTGGTGACCTTCCTTCGGACGATTATTCCCAAGTTTGAAATCTCCCTGCGTGAGGCCCTGCCCCAGCTGGCTCAGCTGCCGCTCGAGTCGCCAGCCCTGCTGGAGCGCGTGAAGGCCCATGTATCGGCCATCGATCAGCTGGCGCGCGACACCACCGCTGCCGCCACCGGGCCCGCCGGTCCTGGCGCCGCTGGCCCTGGGTCTCAGCTGGAGGAAAGCCGCTCCTCGCGGTCCCTTCGTGGGGTGGAGGTGGATGGCGGGACGGTCCGGTCGACGCGCTCCAGCCGGCGGATTTCCCTTCGCATGTCCTTCAGCCTTTTCACCAATCCCACCACCTCGCCGCCGGGGAGTACCCCGCCGACGCCATCAGCCGCCGGGGGGGCTTCCGTTTCGGCCGGTGCCCGCGCCAGCAGCGCCAGCCTGCCCGTCGTGGCGCCCGGGGTGGCGGGGGCTTCGCACTCGCGGTCGTTGTCCTCTTCATCGGGCGGCCGGCCGCGCAGTGGATCCGTCTCCTCGGTTCGGTCCAGTTCGCAGGGGGGGACCACCGAGCCAGTGACCCCGGCGCCGGGCAGCCCGCCGCTGCCGGCCAGCGGAATGGCTTCCTCTAGCCAGTCAGTCCATTCGTCCGGGTCACCCGACTCGGCACCCAAGCGCGAGCGCTCGGTCTCCTTCATGGACCGGCTGTTCGCCCTGCTGACCTGCTCGCAGGGGATCTCCACCTAGTTTGCATGCATGTGCGCGCACTTGTGTTCATCGGTGTTCCTGGCGATGATGCCGGCCGCGCTGCGCCTTGTCATTGGCTCCTCCGTGTCCTCCCTACTCTTTGCTGTTCTCCCCGCCCTTTCTCCCTCTCTCCTCTTCCCCTCTTCCGCCTTTTCTCATGTGTGTGTGTGTGTGTGTGTGTGTGTATGCGCGCGCTCGTGCGTGGACGCCTATGTGTGGCTATTGAGCCGCCCTCGTCCTCCCACGCCTCCTCCATGCATATATGCCCAGCGTAACATGCATTCATATGCTTGCACACATCCATGCGTGTCTTGCGCGTGCGTGTGTGCATGTGCGTGTGTGTGCGTGTCTGCACACGGCCCCTTGGCGGTGGCCACCTCTGGCTGGCCCCGCTGCTCTTGTACTTGTCAACTTGAATCTCCCTCTCCAGCAATCACGTTCCAGTTGGACTGGAAATTTTGTCCCCCCTTCCTCTGGGATGCGATCGAATGCCCCTCCTCCTCCCGCCTTGCGGGCAAGTGTGTGTGTGTGTGTGGCCGATCATGTCATCCCACTTTTCTTCCCCTGAACAGCATCCCTTCCCTCCTCCAGGTGATAGCCACGACAATATACGTCAGATTGCTCGGGCTCAAACGTTTCTCCTTCCGGTGTGTTTACCCAGCACGCGTTGCCACATATGCGAAGGTGTTGTCAAAAATGTTTGTCTATCTTTCGTGCTACAGACATGCGCAGGACTCGTGCATACGGTTTTCCAGGTGAGGGGAGGGAGGGGGGGGGGGGGAGGGGAGCATGCCAGACGCGGAAGGGCGTGTTCCTGCCAAGGGGCACGCGCTGGTCGTCCGGCGGTGCAGTCTATCACAGCTCGGGTCGACGTGGAAGGGACAGTGTACGCATGCGTGTGTGCAGGGGCGAGGGGGAAATCCCCCCCCGGTAGGGAGCCTGTGAAAAAAAAAACACACACACCAAACAAGACGTTTAGGTGCTCTCGGCCCCCTTGGATGCGATGAAAGTGGCACGGAACTGGTCGGCCTGCTCGCGCGTCATAAACTGCCGAAGGCAGGCATTCATTTCGTCGGCCACCTCGCGGCAGGCGGAGGGGATGCTCAAGGTGCGATAGTAGGCGCAGTCGATGTACTCTTTTTTTTTTTTTTTACGGCAAGCGGCAAAGACCCAGGGTGAACAGAGAGCCGAAGGGGGATGGGAGGCGGGCGAGCACGGGTGAGCTACGTCTGGGGCGCCGTCGCAAATGGGGCAAGACAGGGGGCGAGGGAGAGAGAGAGAGAGAGGACACGCACTCAAAATCTGGGCGTCACACTTCTGCCGGACCTCCGAGCGGAAGGCATCATGGACATGGTTCTCATCGCTCTTGGACAGGTTGCTCAAGGTGATGGGAGGGAAGGAGGAGGGATCGACGCGGGGCGGGGTGGTCATGATGGATGGGATGTGTGCGTGTGTGAGGCTATAAAGGTGAGGGGGGAAGATGGGGGGGGGGGTGGCCTTGGAGAAAGAGAGAGGCGGGAGGACCAGGGGGATGGGGGGGGGGGGGGGGGGGGGGGGGGGGGGGGGGGGGGGGGGGGGGGGGGGGGGGGGGGGGGGGGGGGGGGGGGGGGGGGGGGGGGGGGGGGGGGGGAGACTCTGATCGCAGGGGGATGCGCCCGCAGGACGGACATGGAACCTGAAGAAGTGAGTCGGGTTCTGCCCCACGTTTGAGCCCGCCGGGGCTGGGCGGGGGGGGGGGGGGGCGATTGGCGCCCTGGTGGGACTGTTTTTTCGTGAGAGTTGCGAAGAGATGGGCAGTGAGCGCGGCGCGACCCACGCACACATGCATGTTTTCACACAGGGCGAGCAGTTTCCGCCGGCATCTCAACCGTGAATGTTCAAATATCCTGGTGCCGGGCACACATTTATTGAAGGCTCCTGTGGCTCAGTAGGTAGAGCGTGGGACTGTTAATCCCAAGGTCCGCGGTTCGATCCCGTGCGGGAGCGCATTCTTTTTGACTTTATGCCGCCCCTTCTTTTGTTTTCCCCAGCCCCCTGGGGGGCGGGGGGGCTGAGTGGAAGCGAAGGCGCTCCCTCTTCAACCGGGGGGGGGGGGGAATGTCAGGTTGTTCCAGGACGTGGACTGCGGGGGGGGGGATCGTCCTGCCGTGTGGAGCTAACGCTTTTTTTTTTCAACGGCCCGGACGGAAGAGGGGACCTGGCTCCCCTCGTCCGACAGAGGGGGGGGGGGGCTCAATGGGCGCAAGTACGCCGGTTCGTCCCCTCTGGGCCGCGCCCCGGTTGCTGGTGTGCCCAGTTTGGGAAGGCACCGCCCGAACACAGAACTATCATCGCAGTGCGTGGGGGGCGCGCCGTGAGGCGGGTTGGGGGCGAACCTGCCTCTGTGGCCGGGGGGGACATGGGTGATAATAAACTTGAGCTCGAAGGCCGGAGGGGGGGG